GAAATTAAACAGTACTAAATCAAACGAGACTTACCAATTGCCATAATGAACATGAAGCAATAGACAAGTCATGTGATAATTATGAAGAGAAGCAGATAGCAATAGAAACTTTACCACTTCATATTCTCCTTGAAGACAACAATGATGGCGGGAAGTTGATATATGAATATGCCTCATTCATAAAATAGTGTTGTTTATGATAGACCCTCTGAAGCTGCAACGTCTTGACATCGATTGAGAAATATCCAACAAGTTCATTATAAAAAGATGAGGCTTCTCTCCTCGTTAAGAACAAGTACCTCTGTGTTGCATCTTTGATAAAATATTTGTATCTAGAATCTAGTGAGATTGTCTTCTCCATCTGCCATTGTGTGGGACTCTCGCCTTTGTTCTGTGCAATGGTATAGCTGAGATCGGATGGAGTTTCACAGTGGAAACCAAAGATCCCAAGCCTGCCTTCCCCTGCCTCCACAATGGCTATGCCTTCATAGGTCCATCCTCCCGGCGGGAGGTCGGCTATGGAGAACTCCATCTTCCTGGTGTCAAGCAAGAGCAACTTTTTCATCCCAAAATTCACCCAGTCCCAGTAGAAACAGCCATAAGCATAATGGCGCCTGTGAATATTGCCCTTGCCAAGGGCCAAATCATTTAAATCCTTGGGTACAGCAGCTTGCCATTGATGGGTGCTCGAGGAGAAGTTGAAGGCAGCCAGACTGGTTTTGCAATGTGCCATCAAGATGACTCTGAACGTTGTCTCTCCAGCCACTACCTCCTCCTCGCCGAGGGGAACGAGGAAGCGCTTCCAGCAGGCCTCACTTACCGGGTGCTCAAGCGAAGCGGCTAGGTCGTGAGGTAGCGGGGGAGCAAGACGTAGAGCCGGTGCAAGGGGTCGCACACCGCGAGATCTCTGAAGACCGGGGGCTGCCCATGTTTACCGATGTTGCGGGCAAGGAGGACAGGGCCGTCACGGATGTCCTGCACGGTCCAGCGGCGGTGGGAGGGGAGGAAGGAGAAGGTGAAATCGGCGGCGGCGGCAAGCGCGCGGACGGCGGGAGTGGAGGGCATGGCTGGGTGGAAGCCGTCGAGGTCGAGGAATCCGAGAAGTGATGGTGCGTGGAGGCAGCGGAAGCTGCGGAGGAAGGACCTGTCAGTGGAGATTCGGCGGAAGGTGACGCAGGCGGCGGAGACGCGGGTGAGGTCCTGTGGGGTGGGCAGCCGGAGGAAGATCTCGGTCAGGAGCTGGTCCGGGATGTCCGTTATAGAAGTCGCCATTTTCTTCTCGCTGGTCGCCCGGAGTCGTGGGAGGATCGTGGATTGAACGCCGGCCAGGAGCAGGCAGCCGCCGGGAAACCCTCGACGAGTTTTTGTTTTTGTTTTTTTGAGCGTAGGATTAGGAAACCCTCGAGGAGATGGGAGGAGCCGTCGGTGTGTCCGATCGATCGTGTGGGTGTTGGAAAGCGATTCAACATAGACCTCGGTGACTGATTTTCCTTCATGGGCTCGCTATTACCGGCCAAGCCCCCAATTTGTCAGGCCCAGCATAGACCGCCAGCTTAGCCGAAAAGAAATACAAAAAAAAAGTGGTTCAACCTTGACCTGCATTTTTTATTTTATTCTAAAGAAAATTAACATTATTGAGCTTCGTTTAGGATTTCTACTGAGCCTCCTCTACACCTGTGTACGCGTTCGGTTTGACAATGGGAGCAACTCTTAGACGTGTATGTTTGAAAGCCACCCCTTTTTTATACTCAGTAGTGTAATTTCATTCTGTATAGATAATTCGACAACCGTAATATAAAATATATGTTAAAAATATAGAATGAGAAACTTCAAATGTTATATGTTCTAATGGTTACATTGGTAAAGCTGACGATTTGGGGTACGCACGGTACCTATAAACTGAAAAGGAGGGCATATCTAACAACTGGTGCCAATTTTCTTCCTTGTTCATCATTGTCTACAATATATTTTTCATGCCTAAAATTTTGCCCTATAGGCGTATGGTGCCCAAATTATTTTTCATGCCTAAAATTTTGCTACAAATGATGCAAATATACATCAACTCTAGCTGCTAGCCTAAAACCAAACATGCCTCGGTGGGAATCTAACAGCCACTCAGTGAAATATCCCCGCCGCTAACCGTCGCCATCCACACCGATTCTCGCCGCCCACCCTCTAGATCTCGCTTTAGGAGTACATAAATTGGTGACTGTCAGCAGAACATGCTAAGCTTTGCAAAGTAGCGTAAACAAGCAATGGAAACCGGCCCAGCCGAACCAAAAGGGGTAACGTTTTCAGTAAGCGATGTAATCAAGAGACATACAGCGGAAAATTGCAAACCATACGCTTCCTAAACATAGCTTTCTCTTGTACAAAAACTTTGTTTTTCAGTTTGCTATTCAAAGGAAAAGGAAAGGATTTATTCGACTTGAAAGAAACTGTGAGCTTGCATCAAACTAATTTACTTCAAGCCAACAGCTAAACAAAAAGAGGAGAAGATGAGCACACCAGTAATACCGCTGCTCTGGAACTGGCAATGGCTTCATACCATTTCTTTCTGTGCCTCCGTGGAAACAAGTCTTCCAGGCCCCAAGCATTGTCTACTCTTAAGCTAGCTTTTTTTGACAGCTCTAGTATGTTGTCATGTTTCAATTATGTTTATCCAACATGTTCTCTGCACGTGCGCACTTGGGCTGGTCATCAGTTCAAGCATGAAACATATAGTCAGTATTGCTTGTCTTGGGGTTGGCCATGAGTTCTGTAGCGAAACTCTTGTCAGATATTATAGCAACTCTCAAAGTTAAGAAAAAAATGTGACTTGGAAATATATCTTCAGAACTTAATTTCATTGTCAAATTCATGGTCAAGGAACAGCCACATCGAAAAGACTACACTGACGAGAACGACACAGACATAACCACCGCCAAGTGAAGCTCTGTAGATTTTATTTTATTCTTGACGCAAAGAGCATGAGCTCCGTAGATTGTCATTTGTCAACTTGTAGGCGCAAGACAATTACATCTGCGAGATCTCCATCCTATTGGCATCACCATGACTAGATCACTTCGAATTAATAGTGCTGATCTGATTAAGGCTCCGCCGAATCTGAACCGATGAGGCAAAGGTTCAGACAAAAGATGATTTAAATCAAACAACTTGCAAGCACTAGCTGCTCTTGCTGTTCAGAGCAGTGAACCAGGCACTTATCTGCGAACGTACTAGTTGTGCAGATTTATTTAGAAACAAAAACAAGAGATAAATTTGTAGATGTGGAGATGACCAAACCAAGACTATTCCAGTTTCTCATACTTTATAACTATCAAAAGAAAAACAGACAAGAGTCGTGCTTGACTTTAATGAATTTTCCAGTGGTGGAACAATCCATAGGTAAATTGTATCCATATGTTCTCCAAATTAAAACAACAACCTGACAATAATTGATGTTGTCTAGTGTCGGTTTTGTAATTTTACCAGGCCTGGAAAATAGATGATGCATAAGCTACTTTGCATGATCATTTGTCTTGCTCATCTATTATCATCAAACGGCAACTGGAACAGACAAGACAATGAATCACGACTAAATTCACTTGATTAGTTTTTCGGCAAGAACAAGAAAAATGGCCACTACTAGATCGTGTAAACACGAACTACCAGTTGCACTGTTAATATCATTGTCAGATTCACTTATTTGGCAGGGAGCAGCCACATCCATCTCCCACTAACATCACTGCAAATAGGTTTACTCCACGCCTACAAGTAAGTAACATAAAAACAAGACGTGACCACTGCCAGGAGGAATTCTGGAGATTGTCAGCAAGATAATCACATCTGCAAGGACTCCATGCTATCTAAACCACGGTCGCTTTGAACTCGGAGAGCTGATCTGGTGACGACTCCACAGAACCTGGACAAACAAGACCAAAATACAACTCAGACATACTGAAGATTTTGTTGACAATTGGTGAATACTAAATCAATAGTTTAACGAGCTTAAAGGAACAAAGTTTTAGGTACTTAGGTAGTATCACAGAATAGCATAATATTGATGGCCAGACACATAATATTGATGGCCAGACACTGAACTTAAAACGTGTGACTGCAGACAGAGACTCACTTCAGTATGGGCACCATTGTAAGTTTGGGATACGTGGCCAGACAGAGGCACGTGAACCCCTAAAGGAATCAGTCCTGAAAAACTCGTGTAAAACTGGTACCTCTATTTTGCAGGAGTTCATTTACTGCCTAGGCACACTCTAGCATTATAACAAACTTCTACCTAAAGAAAAGAAAGAAACTGAGGTGCTGGTAGCGAGAATCAATACAATCACCTGAAAACTCTAAATTTCAGTCAATCATCTCAACCAGTATTATTTCAGATAAAACAACATCATGGGTTAAAATCTCAGTTGCCTGTAAGAACAAGCTCTTCTTATTTAGAGCAGTGACTCGAGATCTTATTTGTGACCATTCTAGCTACGCAGGTTTATCTCAAAACAACACTGCACGATAAAATTATACATCTGAAGATGACTAAAAGAGAACTTTTCTGCCTCCCTACATCTATCAAAAGAAAAAGTGTGCAAAGTGAGCTGTCCTTGACTGGAATGAATTTTCTCGAGGTGAAATAATCCACGGTAAACTGGATATAAAGTTGTATTCCTTCTACTTTATCTTGATCATCAAAACTACTACTCGAAAAAAATTATAATGACCTGGTACTTTTAGTGATTCCATCTGAACTCATGCATAAGCTACTCAGTGTACAGGATCATTTCTCTTACTAAACCCATTGTCTTAAAAAGGCAATCAAAACAAAAAAAAGACAAGAAACACCACTATGTTCCTGAGCTTTCTTAGTTTTCCCATGAGCCCAAGAAATTAAACTCTACTAAATAAAATAAGAATTACCAATTGCCATAATGATCATGAAGCAAGAGACAAGTCATGTGATAATTATGAAGGGAAGGAGATAACTTGGAAGCAATAGAAACTTTACCATTTCATATTCTCTTTGAAGACAATAATGATGGTGGGAAGTTGATATATGTGTGTGTTTCATACTTAAGATACTGCGGTACATCATGAACCCTCTGAAGCTGCAATGTCTTGACATCCATTGAGAAATATCCAACAAGCGGATTCTCTAGAGATGAGGCTTCTATCTTTGTCAAGAGCAAGTACCTCTGTGTTGCATCTCTGATAAAATATTTGTACCCAGAATCTAGTGAAATTGTTTTCTCCGACTGCCACTGGCTGGGACTCTCGCCTTTGTCACGTGCAACCATATAGCTAAGATTGGATGAAGTTTCACCATGGAAACCAAAGATCCCAAGCCTGCCTTCCCCTGCCTCCACAATGGCTATACCAACCTTGCTCCATTTTCTGCGCGGGAGGTTAGCAATGGAGAACTCCATCTTCCTGGTGTCAAGTAAGAGCAACTTTTTCCTCCCGAACTCCACCCAGTCCCAGTAGAAGCACCCATAAGCATAATGGCGGCTGAGAATGAAAGGGTGGACCCGTGACATCTCTGCCATGTCGCGCTCTCCAAGGCCCAAATCACTCCAACGCTTGGATGCAGCGGCTTGCCATTGTCCCGTGCTCGAAGAGAAGACGAACGCAGCCAGACTAGTTATGCAATGTGCCACCAAGATCACCCTGAATGCTGTCTCTCCCGCCGCTGCCTCCTCCTCGCCGAGGGGAACGAGGAAGGGCTTGCACCGGGCCGGGCGTACCATGGGGAAAGGGTGCTCAAGTGAAGCGGCTAGGTCGTGAGTTACCGGGGGGAGCAGGACGTACCGCCGGTGCAAGGGGTCGCACACCGCGAGATCTCTGAAGACCGGTGCAAGGGCCCACTCTTCTTGCCGGAGGTCGCGGGCGAGGAGGACGCGGCCATCGCGAATGTCCTGCACGGTCCAGTGGCAACGGGAGGGGATGAAGGAGAAGTAGAAGTCGGCGGCGCGGGCGAGCGCACGGGCGGCGGGCGCGGAGGGGTGAGGCGGCATGGTGGGACGGAATATGCCACCGGCCTGGAGGAATCCGAGTACTGATGGTGCGTGGAGGCGGCGGAATCTACGGAGGAAGGAGTCGTCGGTGGCGACTCGGTAGAAGGAGACGCAGGCGAGGGAGGTGCGGACAAGGTCTTCCGAGTCGGGCAGGCGGAGGAAGATCTCGGCCAGGAGGTGGTCAGGGATCTCCGTCAGAGGCGACGCCATCTCCTGACCAGCCGGCAGAAGAGGTGGCCGCCGGTAACCCTTGACGAGATGGGACGAGGAGGGCTGGCGGCAGCGGCTGTGTACCGCTGCGTGCTGGACTTTTTTTTGTCCTCTTTGTGCTGCCGAAATGGGCTCTACTCGGCAAGACTATGTAACCTGTAATGGGCCGCTCTTGTGCCAAAATAAGGCACAAAACGCATCTCCGCTAGGAAAGAAAAACACCAGTGTTTCAATTGAAAAAGTGAAAATCATCCAAACAAGTAGAGCAATAGGATTTCAACGCATCTCTGCTTGTTCGAATTACCATGCCTCCATTAAACAAATGTCTCGGCGCAGCACATGCTCGTGTAAACAACGGAAAACATCATAGAAAGGACCAAAAACATTTGTAGAAATACTCTCAAAATTGAAATTAAAATGAAACACGTATGAAGTTTTGCAACTGTAATCACCATCACCTGTTGCCATCCAATATAAGGGCTTTGTGAATGAAAGAAGATGCATGTATGCGGTGGAGCCAATGTCGATGTAGCATGTCAACCGGGGACCATCACCATGTTACTTTGAACCCCAAACTCATCGCATGTGGTCAACATCGCCAGGGCAGACTGCCCGATCCGGCCCCCTCAGGCCACCATCCATGTTCTTGGACCGTCATCATCCCTCATACACAGACTACTCGGTTGGAGACAATAAACATCACACTATTTAGAAAAACCATATATGTCGCGTCAGGGGAGCGTCTGAGGACGAATCCCACTTGATATAAGTACTCCAACAAGTTTTTAAAAGGACACTTAAAAAATATGGAGTACATTAGTTAGCATTGCAATGATTGTTGATTTCTACGAACTCTTAATTTCATTGTGACAATCTTATAGCTAGGGACCGATTTTCATTGTGACAATCTTATAGCTAGGGAACGGTCACACTACTGCTTATTCTAACCCAATACAGAAGTACCATGTAAGGAACAAAGTCATAAACATTATCACTGCCAGGTGAAGAGCTGTAGATTTTCATGTGCCCCTTGAAGGCAAGGCGGTCACGAGCGGGAGAACTACATCTATTGAAATTACAAAACCGGACGAAAAAGAGAAAGAAGGACACCTAGCGAGCTCCAAACAACATCTAGCTTATGCCGCCTGGCTCTTGCTGCGATTTCGCCTTAGGCTTCAACTTGCCAATTTGTGTTTTGAATAGCATAGAAGAATGGTCCTCTTGATCCCCTCGTGTGTCCTTTCTCTCGAAAAAGGCATCCATTCACTGCAAAATAGATGGGCGTCGCAAATAGTAATCGGAGGGATAGTCCGTGAAAATTTTGTTCAGAAGCCATATGGTTACGCATCTTACATAAAGCCCAGAATTAAGCAGTAAGAACTCCCGCAACCACATGAACCAAGCACAAAGGTCATCTCTACCCAGTGGCACCAAGTTCAAGTGTAACTTCTCTCCTAGCAACTCCACACGAATCTGGGAGCAATACATCAAAAGGACATATTATCTGCGTCTTCGGGGTCATCACACATACTATTGTCAGGCCCTCTTCTTTTCACAACTGGAACCTCGAAGGCAACTTGTCAAGCAGCAGTTCCCACATGACTCCCCTTGTATGATGATTTTTTTTGTATATGAACCACTAGTAAAAACTCTAGATTCATAACAAGGTGTCGCACCACCTGATCTACCCCTACACTACTAGGGAAAAGCCTAACAGTAGCGCTGATTTTTGGCCTATCAGTAGCGCGGATAAGCGCGCTACCGATACGGCGCTACAGCTAAAGCTTAGCAGTAGCGCCTATTGGCACTCGCTACTGCTATATCTACTTAGTAGTAGCACTTTCCAAAACAACCGCTACTACTATTGTTCTGTATTCTATTTCTTTTGAATTTTAGGTCGTATTCATACACCTTTATACAATTTTTCATACAGTAGCAATTTAGAGATTATTTTTACATTATAATAAGTTATTAAATCACTAGGTGAAAGAACCTTGGATTAGTTTCAAGTGCATGGATTGAAAGTAACCAATGGTCACTTTGGATTCATCCATTTGAAACTAATCAGCGGTTCTTTCACCCAATGACATAATAACTTATCATCATCATCATCGTCGTCGTCATCATCATCATCATCATCATAATATCATTAATAACTTATCATCATAATATACCATTGTCATATAACTCCTCATCATCATCATTTTCGTCCATGAGACATCATATAACAACTTGGTCACTAGTTATAATAACAACTCCTCATCATCATCATACTACTCATAATCACTACTACTACTCAGCATCACCATCAAGTCTAAGACATTGTAGCACATAATAAAAGCTTCTCATCATCATCATAGTCATATATAAACAACACTAACTAACTGTTCTTAATACTTAGGACCTACTCCTCACTCCTAGCTAAAATACCATAAAACAGATAAACCGGTCCTTCACCATAATGGAGAATGGACATAAACCTATCTCCAACTTGTGGCTTGCGCACATTCATTTTGTCTACAATTATTTATGTGTGCGCATTCATCATTTTGCTCCATTCTTTGATTTTGAGCCTTTCATCATTTGAAGAAATCGAGTATGCAGTATGGTAAGCCTTCGAAGGAATTGGTCGTAAGCTAACCATATGCATATCACCTTCGGTAAATAGCATGTCAGGCACAACCTGCTTCGGGAGCCTCTGTTAAAAAACGTAATAGTAACATATATAGTTAGCAATGTAGTTTACTTCAGAATAAGGTATGCAATGAAGTTACCATCATTAACAAAATCTTACCAAGTTTTTGGCAATGAAGTTACCATCAAGCAATTTATGGACTGGTGGCACGTATCTAGTATAATTTGGGCTGATAGAGTGACTGATTTTGAAGGCCTCAACATCTTCTATGAATGAGACAAGATAATCTTTCTCCTCACAATTAAGCTTGGAGTCATAGCTGTACTATGTGTTGTCTACTACCTTCCGAGTATTTCTTGAAGATAAGAAATAAGCTGACAATTATAAATAAATAAGTTTAGTACCGACGAACACCAAATATTTTTAAATTAACAACATAAATTATTGAACTTAACAAATTAGTTTGACAAACTCACATCTAGGCAAAACTGGAGGCATATCCACATCCACCCAGATGTCGATATTATCATCATCATCATAATCTTCAGGACAAATATCAAATCTTATTCGCATTCCCTCATCAAATCCATATGCCTTGCAGAGAGCTTCCCAATTAGAGCAACTAAAATGGGAGCGATCGACCGCATTGTACAGCTTACCAGAAACTCATAACCATGATTAGTTCTTAAGTGAGCCCACCTCGTCCCCACATTCTCAACATCATCTAAACCAAAACCATGCTTCTCCAATACATATGGTCTAGCATGGCACGGGATGTACTAATCGAATTGAAAAAAATCCATAAATTACACGTTGAACAAAAGAAGCACAAGTGATGACATTAATTATGATGAAATGTTTGTCGTTGCGTACCGTACAAACATCAAAGGTCTCTTCCAGCTTCACGGTGAAAAACCTATCATTTTGCAGGTGAGGAAACCTGTCGCACAAACCCTGGTCATCGTAGCAGTACCCGGCCGCACTCCAGGATCCCATCATCATCAGACATCTCCTTTGTTCAAAATTCAAAGATTATAACTCGACGGCAAAACCCAAAAAATCCGGCATGACCTTTGCTAAAAAAGGACATATCGAGCGCCTGAAATTTGCCGGAACGGAAATTAATCAACACTCCGGCAAAACATAGGCCACTTATCGATGGTCATTGCATTTCAATGGTTGAAAATATGAACAAAAACATTTCAAAATATCTTATATATAATCCTAACACTAAATAAACTAGTTTTATTAACTACTTACGAAATAAACTAGTTTTATTAACTACTTACTAAATAAACTAGTTCTATTAAGCACTTACTATAAATAAACTAGTTCTATTAAGCACTTACTAAATAAACTAGTTCTATTAAGCACTTAATATAAATAAAAAAGTTATACTAATCACTTACAAAATAAACTAGTTCTATTAAGCACTTACTATAAATAAACTAGTTCTATCACTAGTAGAAAAAGGATCAAATGTGAGACACATTAGTCCCGGTTTGTAACAGAACCGGCACTAATGTGTCCATTAGTGCCGGTTCCAACGGCTAGGCGGGAGGAGCTCTTTAGTACCGGTTCGTGGCAAACCTTTAGCACCGGTTCGTGCCACGAACCGGTACTAAAGAAAGTGGTGGCAGGATGTTGTCAGAGTGGGGCCCTTCCAGCACCTTTAGTACCGGTTCGTGGCATGAACCGGTACTAAAGGTCGTCCTATATAAACCCTTCGTCCACCTGCACTCTGTTCTTCCCCCTTTCCCCTCTCCCTCTCCTCTGTTCTTCCCTTCTTCCTCTGGAGTTCATCACAAAATTTGCCCCAAATTTGTCAAGATTTGCAGGCCCCCATCCATTCAAATGATCACCAAGGTTAGCAACTTTGTCCTTTCATCTCTCATTGCTAGATTAGCTCTTGCATTGGTTTATATAGTGATTAATTGTGGGTTTTAGTAATTTGGGAGGAATTATATGCGGTAGTATTTGATTTATATGCAATTTGAGGTCAAAATAACACTTAGTTTGCATATGTAGGTGTGGTTTACTTAGTGCCTTCTAAATCTCCGTCGTAACCACCGTCGATCGCCCGCACCGTCCCGTCGCCGGCACCACCTTGTGGTGAGCCTCTTGTTCATGAAATTTTATATAAAAAATTGATGTTTGTGTGATTTGGATATATAGTTACTCGTATAATAATTATCTTACCCGTACGTTGTTTGTTATACATAGTGCCATGGTTTTGATATCCGTCCCCGTCGGCCCTCGTCCTTGTTATGATTCGGATGTGGTATATTCTCTTTTAAAACTATTTGTTGCATTTCGTGTTTATGACAAATTATGCCCATCAAGTTGACATAGATATTTTTATCTA